TAAACCCTAAACCCTAAACCCGAAACCCTAAACCCTAAACCAAACTGCACCCCTCCCCCGCCTTCCCTCCCCTCCCCTCTCCCCCTGCCCTGCTCCCCCTGCCCTCTCCGCCTGCCCTGTCTCCCTGCCCTCTCCCCTGTCCCCCTCTCACAACAAAGCCAGATGAAGCAAAAGGCTGCCCAAGCCCTGAACCCTACTCACTATGGCCCTATAAACCCTCTACTCTTACACTAGCTTGTGCCTTGAACCCTCCTCCCCCGAAGTCTGCCGGAGCCCCCAAAAACTGTGCCTAATCTAGGGCTCGGCATAATTACTAGTAGTATTCCCTTATGGTCCCTTTGTAATACTACTGACATACCGCCAATACCCTAAACCCTGAACCCTGAACCCTGAACCCTGAACCCTAACCTAACCCCATTTTAACCATTCAGGCCCCTATATTAACCTCTACACCCCGGACTGCGGCCAAGGTGACACATGCCGAGGATCTCACAGCCAGGTCCCACGGCATGGGTTTAGGGTTTACGGTTGTTTGGGGTTTCGGTTTTAGGGTTCATTTTTGCACAGTTTTGCATTCTCTTTGTTGGGAGTTGCGCAGGCTGCGAAGCTACTGGAGCTTCTCCGGCTCTGAAGGTTCTAGCCCAGGAGTTTAAGTCGGCTTAAGTTTTGTTTGCATTATAAGGGTCATTTATCATGAAGAACACAAGCACTAGTTGATAGTCATGATTAAAGGATACCTTACCATTTGCTCTTGTTTCCCTTTGAGGGTTTCAAAACCTCAGAATCGACGTTTGTTGAACATGAGCCCTCAGACCTGAAACCCAACGCCTGCACATGGGCCTGTTTTGGGTTTTTTTAAGGCCCTCACACGTTGTGCAAGGCATCATGTAGACTCGCTTTCGGCTGGGCTGCAGGGTTCTGGCAAGAAGGTGCTACTATGAGAGGAGACAGGCAGAGAAAGAGAGAGAGAGAGAGAGAGAGAGAGAGAGAGAGAGAGCGAGAGAGAGAGAGAGGGAGCGAGAGTGTGAGAGTGTGGGAGTGTGAGGGTGTGAGAATGTAAGAGAGAGAGCGAGAGACGGGGATAGACACCTGTATACACACATATATATATATAAAGATATATGCACAGAGTCGTGGAGAATGCGGAGGCACACAGAGACAGAGGTGAACGAAAAAGAAGGACCGAGAGAGAGAGAGAGAGAGAGAGAGAGTGAGTCAGAGCCAGACAGAGAGACCGCGAGTCGGAGAGACCGCGAGGCGGAGACACTAGGGTTTAGGGTTTAGGGTTTAGGGTTTAGGGTTTAGGGTTTAGGGTTTAGGGTTTAGGGTTTAGGGCGCAGAAACAGAGACAGGGTGGCATGTGTCGCCCAGCCTAAGGCTTCCTCAGCTTATACCCGATACCCCGCATCCAGGGTCCAGACTATGGGGTTCGGAACACTTGCTAATAGTATTCTCTCACGGTCCCTTTGTAGCTATACCATAAATAATTCCCAAAGCCGCGGTGAAATTATTAAGGCACCCTTTTTTCAGGGTGCTTTGTTCCCCCCCCCCCCCCGCAGATGCACTCCTTTCTCTCCTTGCCAGTTGAGCTGCCGAAGCTGCTGCGGGGCCCGGCAATGCCTCGAACCCTGCACCCCGAGGCCCTGGGAGTCTTCTTGAACCCAGCCCCCCTGTGTACTTTTCGCATCACCAGGTGTAGTTTTCTGGCTGGGCTTTGAGTAGGTCCGTGCGAAATGCCTATCAAATAGCACCAAAAAAATCAAACAGTGTCGATTTTGAGGTTTTGGCTCCTTGGAAATCGGAAAAACAAGCACGTTTGATTCTTTTCGCATCAGCAGGTGTAGTTTTCTGGCTGGGCTTTGAGTAGGTCCATGCGAAATGCCTATCAAATAGCACCAAAAGAATCAAACACTATCGATTTTGAGGTTTGGGCTCCTTGGAAATTGGGAAAACAAGCGCTCTGGGTGCGGTTTACTGGGCTCTGAGGAGGTGCGAAATGCCTATCAAATTAGCACCAAAAAATCAAACAGTGTCGATTTTGAGGTTTTGGCTCCATGGAAATCGGAAAAACAAGCACGTTTGATTTTTTTCGCATCAGGAGGTGTGGTTTTCTGGCTGGGCTTTGAGTAGGTGCGAAATGCCTATCAAATTAGCACCAAAAAATCAAACAGTGTCGATTTTGAGGTTTTGGCTCCTTGGAAATCGGAAAAACAAGCACGTTTGATTTTTTTCGCATCAGCAGGTGTGGTTTTCTGGCTGGGCTTTGAGTAGGTGCGACATGCCTATCAAATTAGCACCAAAAAATCAAACAGTGTCGATTTTGAGGTTTTGGCTCCTTGGAAATTGGCAAAACAAGCACGTTTGATTCTTTTCGCATCAGCAGGTGTGGTTTTCTGGCTGGGCTTTGAGTAGGTCCATGCGAAATGCCTATCAAATAGCACCAAAAGAATCAAACAGTATCGATTTTGAGGTTTTGGCTCCTTGGAAATCGGGAAAACAAGCGCGTTTGATTTTTTTCGCATCAGCAGGTGTGGTTTTCTGGGTGCGGTTTACTGGGCTCTGAGTAGGTGCGAAATGCCTACCAAATTAGCACCAAAAAATCAAACAGTGTCGATTTTGAGGTTTTGGCTCCTTGGAAATCGGAAAAACAAGCACGTTTTATTTTTTTCGCATCAGCAGGTGTGGTTTTCTGGCTGGGCTTTGAGTACGTGCGAAATGCCTATCAAATTAGCGCCAAAAATTCAACAGTGTCGATTTTGAGGTTTTGGCTCCTTGGAAATCGGAAAAACAAGCACGTTTGATTCTTTTCGCATCAGCAGGCGTAGTTTTCTGGCTGGGCTTTGAGTAGGTCCATGCGAAATGCCTATCAAATAGCACCAAAAGAATCAAACAGTATCGATTTTGAGGTTTTGGCTCCTTGGAAAAGGGAAAACAAGCGCGTTTGATTTTTTTCGCATCAGCAGGTGTGGTTTTCTGGGTGCGGTTTACTGGACTCTGAGTAGGTGCGAAATGCCTATCAAATTAGCACCAAAAAATCAAACAGTGTCGATTTTGAGGTTTTGGCTCCTTGGAAATCGGAAAAACAAGCACGTTTGATTTTTTTCGCATCAGCAGGTGTGGTTTTCTGGCTGGGCTTTGAGTAGGTGCGAAATGCCTATCAAATTAGCGCCAAAAAATCAAATAGTGTCGATTTTGAGGTTTTGGCTCCTTGGAAATCGGAAAAACAAGCACGTTTGATTCTTTTCGCATCAGCAGGTGTAGTTTTCTGGCTGGGCTTTGAGGAGGGGGGGGCAGGGGGGGTTTCGGAGGCGGGAATGTGCTCCCAAGAGTTAGTGGCTGCCACTAACGGGATTCGAGCTGGCAATCTTTCGGTTTAGAGGTGCACGGCTTATCCATTCTGCTATTGGATCCATGCCTTTATTGAAATAATAATTCATCCTTACTTGATTTCATTAAAAATCACTTAAAACCGTAAAACGAGTTAGTGGCAGCCACTAACTCGTTTTACGGTCTTTTTGGGGGGTGCCTTTGGGAGCTTTCAGGAGAGGTTTTGGGGAGGTTTTTTGACCTAGACCCGCGAAGAGTTAGTGGCAGACACTGAGTCGTTTCGCAATCCTTTTGGGGGGGTGCCTTTGGGGAGCTCTCGGGGCAATGTCTACATGATTTTTTGGGCGAAAAGTATTGTTCACACAGCTCGCCCCCTATGTTTCTTGGAAAGCCTGCGGCCTAATGGGTAAGCACTCGACGTTGATAGCGATATGTCTCGATACTGGTCTGCTTCGATTCGGTTCGATATCGATACCGCGCATTAGCGATACCTCACGGTTCGGTACCGATACGGATTCGATATCGATAAAAGTATTGTTGAAACATCCATGGTGAAGGGGTGTCCTTATTCATTTCAGGTCCTTGGGCTAAAGATCGCCCTTCGCGCTGGGCAGCTGTAAAGCCCAAGGGGCTCGAATTAAGTTACCATAACACGGATACTAATCACCCTACTCAAGTCTTAAGCTAAGTTGCCATTACAAGGATACTATGTTATTACCTACGGAACCCTAAACCCTAAACCCTTAACCCTGTTTGAGTACATTAGATTATCTTCCCTGGTGAGCCAAAAGCCGCTGTCGGGAGGATGTTTACGCCAGACTTATCAGGCTCAGGGTGCAGGAGGATCCCTAAAATGCTGAAGCCGGAAAGCCTAAAATAAAAAATCCCATCCCTCTCCGCAAGGCAATGGACGGTCTGCTTGTTTCACCCGCCAGTACTCTTGCAGAGCACAGGCAAAGAGACGTCTGCAGGGCTTGAATTACATTGTGTGTCGGTTGCCAAAAATCCCCAAAACGGTTGCACCCCATTCCCCCCCTCCCGCCCCCAACCCCCCGTGTACTTGATCGGAGCTTCCGTGGTAGTATGTCTGTGAGGGAGAGAAGTGCCTCAACTGGGCTTGTAGATATCGTTTTCAAAAGACACTGCCTGCTTGAAATGGGGGCTTTCCGAAAATAGGGGTACCCTGTTTCGGGGTCCCGTTTGAGGGGATTCTATTCTCCCTAAACCCTAAAACCTAAACCCTAAACCCCAAACCCTAAACCCTAAACCCTAAACCATTTGGGGTGCAGAAGGGGTACCTGAAAATACCCAAAGGGCAAGTCACAGTGGCCCGTGCCCTCCTGCGCGACTCCGCAGCTTGAAGATCCAGCAGCAGAGATGCTGCAGCATAGGGTCCTGTACACCCTTAGGGTTTAGGGTTTAGGGTTTAGGGTCTTACCCCAGCTGACGGCTCAGCATCGCTTGAGGCGTATACATTCACGTACGGCCGAAGCTGAAACCCTGAAACTGAGGTCCGTCAGCTTTTTTGTGAGACCTGCCTTTCCCCCCCCCCCCTACCTCGCCCTTTCGAACTTGTAATGCGACTCGGAACGTCGTGAGCCACCCAAGGAAAACACAAACCAGCACTTGACATCAGTGCCAAGTGCCAGCATAGTATCCGGTGACCTGACGCCATGCAGGGTCTCGTCGATTACGAGGCGCCCAGAGAAGCTGTCCGTCACACCTTCAAAGCCGGTTAGTCGAGTTGAGGGTGCAATCCTAGACATTGTGAAGCCCGACAATACTCCCTGAACACCCCAAACGTCTAACTTCTAATCCTTAGACTGGGTTGGGGCTGTAGTTCGTGGTTATGTTGACCTGGCAGCAACTGGCCCATAAGCATGTCTTCGAATTGCAGCCGTTGAGGGTTTAGGGCTCAAACTCTGAACCATCATGCTGATAAACCCCAGACCCTAAACCCCAAACCCTAAACCCCAAACCCTAAACCCTAAACCCTAAGCCCTAAACCCTAAACCGTGCAAGGACTCCGATGAGGACGCTGAGCCCAATGCGTCCGCGGAGGATGGTGAGAGGGCTTGAGTGGGGATGAGACGGAGAGCCGCCAGTGGTTTAGGGTTTATTTAGGGTTTAGGGTTTAGGGGTTTACGTTTTAGGGTTTAGGGTTTAGGGTTTAGGGTTTAGGGTTTAGGGTTTAGGGTTTAGGGTTTAGGGTTTAGGGCCCCCATACACTTGGACCCCCCCCCCCCCCCAAACAAGCTCTTAAGCCCCTAAAGCTCTGCGGTGCTTGGGCCGAATCCCTAAACCCTAAACCAAAACTCGAGAAGACCCTAAACCTTACACCCCAAAACTTACAAGCCCTTAACCCTGAACCCTAAGCCCTAAACGTGCTTGAATGGGTTTAGGGTTTAGGGTTTAGGGTTTAGGGTTTAGGGTTTAGGGTTTGGGGTTCAGGGGTTTAGGGGGCGAGGCCGTGAAGCCGCCGGACACAGAAACATCGGAGAAGGCCGACGGGGGCGGATTTGGGGTTTGGGGTTTGGGGTTTAGGGTTTAGGGTTTAGGGTACTACTTGGAGATTCATGGATAGTTGTAAGTGGGGTTTTATGACTTATAACCCTATTTAGGGACCTCCAAGTAGGATTTGAGGTTTTAGGTTCTACTTGGGATGTTCCCCCTTATGCTAACCGCCCTTAATAGGGAATACAGTACCCCCTGTTAGAATCTCTGTTTAAGGACTGTTAGTATAAGGGGGAACATACCAAGAATGTACGGTAGAGGAAGCAAGCCCGGGGGAATGGTCGAAGTCACAACTTGCACGCCATCGGGCGATTAATTAGCATCGGATCGACCGAACATTTAGACTGAAGAAGCCCTGCCCTAAGATTACTAAGCTCCTAAGCCTTGGTAAACCCTAAACCCTCAATCCGAACAATCTGCCTTGAACGAACCGAAGCTGCGCAAGCCATGATTAATCAGATTAATTAGACGCGGAATTGGCTTTTAGGGTTTAGATTTTCGGGTTTGGTAGTGCAGGACTGTGGTGGTCGAGGGTTTAGGATCCTTTACGATGATGTCTTGGACTTTGAGTTATGGTGCTTAGGGCCTTGGGGGCTTCAGGCAGCTGGTAGGCCCGGACACTCTTTGTAGTGCATCTACCAGCGCAAAGCAAGGGAACAGAGGTTGCCGCTCTCCCATAAGTTGAGCACCCGCCAAAAAGTCATGTTTTCATGTACAACTGCCGGGGGGGGGGGGGTATGGGGGGGGAGGGGGCTGGAGGTCATCATATCTGGGGGAGGGGTGATTGGGGGAGCCTTAAAGGGCGGCTATATTGGGAGATCTCCACCCGAACCCTGACCCTAAGCCGAATTAAACCTGAAGAACCCTAACCCTCAACCCTGAACCCTAAACCCTAAAGCCAGTTTTCAAAGGTAGAGGCCGCCGCGCCGCCAGCGTTCAAGGCGCGAGGGCGCAGCTTGGGTGATGAGGGCTCAGGGGGTTTAGAGGTTTAGGGGTTTTCCGGATTTAGGGGTTCAGGGTTTAGGGTTTAAGGGGTTTAGGGGTTGAGGCAACGGTTGAGGATTTAGTTTTTAGGGGTTCAGGGTTTAGGGGTTTGATTAGGGGTTTAGGGGGTTTAGGGTCTAGGGATTTAGGGGTTTAGGCACATGGAGGCTTTGAAGTTCAGGATTTAGATGTTGGTCTCGAGAAGGCTCTTTTTTTGTGCGTGTGCGTGTGTGTGTGTGTGTGTGTGTGTGTGTGTGTGTGTGTGTGGGTGTGTGTGTGTGTGTGTGCGTGTGCGTGTGCGTGTGCGTGTGTGCGCGTGTGTGCGTGTGCGTGTGCGTGTGTGCGCGTGTGTGTGTGCGCGTGTGTGTGTGTGTGCGCGTGTGGTATGGCTGTGTACTCTAATAGGAACCCCGAAGGGGACTGCAGTTTACAGAGCCTCCCATGCAGTGCGCTTGCGACTAGGTGAACTTCTACCCTCGGAAATGCGAACATGCCAGTCAGAGCGGGGCTTTGGGGTATCGGGAGTACACTGCAAAGAACCTGGAAGTAGCTTCCCAGAAAGCCAGATTATCCTTAACAACAAGGATCCCTGTGTAGTTTAAGGCGTATTCCCTGGATTGCTCATCATCGGGGTCTTGGGGCACACGCCCCGCGCTGCGAAATTTCTCTGAGCCCCTAAACCCTAAACCCTAAACCCTAAACCCTAAACCCTAAACCCTAAACCCTAAACCCTAAACCCTAAACCCTAAACCCTGGCGAGGCTTCCCCGCCCACCTCCTCACCGCCTTCGGGGCCCTCAAGCTCGCCGCCGGAGCGGCTTACTTTTGCTGAGGAAGCCCTAAACCCTAGCCCTAAACCCTAGCCCTAAACCCTAAACCCGAAGCCCTAGCCTTAAACCCTAAACCTTAAACAAGGGTTCCCCAAATTAGGTTCCCTCTTGGGGTTGTTCCGTTAGTATGGTCCCTTACCCTTTTTTCTCATAGAGATCCGAAGTATGGGCCCTTGGCATATAATAGTGTATACGTATACATATATATATATATATATATATTTTTTTTTTGTTTGTTTTGGGGGGGATGGTCCCCCTATGCTAACAGTCCTTAATAAGGAGCATTGTATTGGGGGGTACTATATTCCCTATTAAGGACTGCGAGTAGAAGGTGGAACATCCAAAGTTATATAACAAGAAACCCAAAAATAGAGGCCCATACCTGGAATCCTAGGAAGCCCCTGAACCCTAAGCCCTAAACCCTAAACCCTCAACCCCCCTAAACCCTAAACCCTAAACCCTAGTGCCCTAAACCCCTAAACCCTGAACCCTAAACCCCAGGAATTCTGTGGAGTTGACAGGAGGGCTGGCGACCCCCCGCCAGCACCGCGCCGAGCGCGCCGCCCCAGGCAGAGCCACCCAAGGCACCAAGTGTACCAAGAGCCAAGGGTTTAGGGTTTAGGGTTTAGGGTTTAGGGTTTAGGGTTTAGGTTTTTAGGGTTTAGGGTTGAGGGTTTCGGGTTTCGGGTTTCGGGTTTGGGGTTTTTCGGGTTTAGGGGCAATGTAAAACCCCTTACTTAAGGAACAGGGTTGAGGTTGAGGGCCTACCAATGGATTTGAGGGTTTAGGGCTTTGGGTTTCGGAGATGATGGGGGCCCGAGCGGCCGGCTGAGGCCATGCTATCGTCAATTTCGTGGATGCCTGGAGGCGTCCACGAAATTCACGATAGCATAGCCTTCAGTGCACAGAACCCACGTGGTGCAGGGCCTGCAGGCTTTCCGGGGCGGCTTTTCTTGGAGACTGAAGCCTGAAGCCTCCTAAACCCTAAACCCTAAACCCTAAACCCTAAACCCTAAACCCTAAACCCTAAACCCATGTTCTTGAGCCGCAAAGTGCCGGCTGTTCCCAAGCCTTCCACCCCAGAGACCCCCTCAAGCAACGAACTGCAAGCTGTTTGAAGCCTTGCATCCTGTAAGGTTTAGGGTTTCCTGTTTAGGGTTTAGGATTAGAGAATTTAAATCCTTGAGCCGCGTGTTTGTGGCTCAGCCCATGCACCTCTGACACTGACATCTGCGTTTTCGGGCTGGAAGGGTGACCGAGGTTTAGGGCTTCAGGGTTGGGGCTTTACTTAGTAGCTGAGTCAGTACACTTTAGACTTTTTGGGATACTAGAATCTCGACAAAAACCCAAAAGTGTACACGTTCTTGGGCCTTATGAACTCAGCAACTAAGTGTAGGATCTGGGGGGAATGCTGGCTTCTGAGGGCACGGAGGGTTTTTCCGTTGAGCGCGCAACGCCAAGCTGCCATGACAGTTCCAACCCTAGACCCTGTACCCTAAACCCTAAACCTTAAACCCCCAAACCTAAAAGCCCTTCCCCTACACTCCTGTAGGCCATTCGGCCTCGTCCTGCCTCTGGGCCACCGCCAGTGCCGTTGCCCAGAAGGGGAGGGGAGTTTTTTGGGGTTTAGGGTTTAGGGTACAGGGTCTAGGGTTTAGGGTTTAGGGTCTAGGGTTTAGGGTTTAGGGGTTGATAAACATGCAGAGCCGTTTGCACCCCCCCCAAGTAGTCCCCTTAATAAGGCCCGCTACTCAGGGCACCTTCAACGGATGCATCGTAGAGACTACTTGCGCTTGTCTAGATTGGGTTTAGGGTTTCAGGTCTTCTATGGGCTGAACAGGCGTAGGAGTCAGTAGCCGGGGTTGTGGGTTCAGCCTAGATGCCAGCCCTTTAAGACGTCCCAAATACACCCCCGTTAACGTGTCCTCAGGCCCCAATGAGGGTGCTTGTGTGATGTGGGAAGGCTGTCGGGTTTGCGGTTTTTAGGCTTGTTGAAGCTCATCCTTATAAGCACTAGAACCCTAAACCCTAAACCCTAAACCCTAAATCCTAAACCCTAGAAGGCCTAAAGGGGAGACTCCGCTATTAGCATGCGACTGATGTAAAGCCCAAAGCCTCCCCGAAGCGGTCTTGACCCTAGACTCGATACGCTACAACCTAAACCCCTAAACCCTAAGACCTAACCCGCAGCAATATGAGTTCCCAACCCCGAACCCCCATAAAGTCGACGGCTTCTGGGTATCCCCCGAAAAACAGGTACCAGTAATATGCAGGATACTATGGTCCTTATATTGCACTAAAGGAACTCCCCAAAAGGGTAGTACGGTAGCCCTACTTTTGCTTATGGGGCAGTTCATCCCTCAAACCTGTAGCAACTCCCTGCCTTGCAAGCCCCCTAAACCCTAAACCCTAAACCCTAAACCCTAAACCCTAAACCCTAAACCCTAAACCCTAAACCCTAAACCCTAAACCCTAAACCCCCAAATCCTGAGCCCCCTGCGCGCAGCCGTCCCGCGACTGGTCCAACCCATACATCCTGGAGCGGTTGGTTCAGGCGCCGTCTGAGGGCTTTGGGAAGCCGGTTTAGGGTTTAGGGTTTAGGGTTTAGGGTTTAGGGTTCAGGGTTTAGGGTTCAGGGTTCAGGGTTTAGGGTTTAGGGTTTCTGAACCCTAATTAAACCCCATACCCAGGGCTCAGCGGTGTGCAACGCATCACCCTTTCACCGTAAGCTGAGCCCTACAAGCCCTACCAACCCTGCCTTCCAAAGACAACATCCAGTTTGAAAAACTTGAACACGAGTTCAGAAATACATATAAATACACACATATATATATATATATTATTGTAACATATAAATGCACATAAATATGTATGTATACTTCACCACAGCGACCCTAAACCCCAAACCCTAAACCCTAAACCCTGCTTAAACCTCACCCCTTAGGGGCAACAGCTCTCGAGGAGCTGGGCCTGCAGCAGTATGGGTCGAACTTCCCCAAGGACTCGGACACTCCGGGTTTAGAGTTTAGGGTTTTGGGGTTAGGGTTGTTCTTGCTGGACTTTTCCAGGGTTTGGGCCTCAGGGTTGGAGTTCTTACTGGGCTTTTTAGGGTTTTGGGCGGCCTAGGGTAGTTTAGCGTTTCAGGTAACATGTATATGTGTGTGTGTACTCGAGGCTAGTTTCGTGGTTTAGGGCCTGCAACCCTGGAGCCCGAAACCTCTACAGCCTACAGACAGCAAAGCCTCGAAATCCCGGTCTGGCTCGGCAAAGCCACAGCCGCACAGCCCTCAATGACCCTACACAAACTAGAGCCGAGGCCCTAAACCCTGAATGCTAGAACCCGAAGCAAGAAACCTTAACAGCCCGAAGCAACAATCTCAACCCGAAAAGACACCTCCGAAGCCTCCTAAACCCCCAATGCGACTATGCTCATGCGCGAAAACCCTCGTGCCCAAAGCCTAAAACCACAAATCTAAGATCCTTTCCTAAACCCTCTGCCCTCAACCCTACAGACTCAACACTAAACCCTGAACCCCAAAGCCTAAAGCCACAAGCCTAAGATTCTTTACTAAACCCTCAACCCTCAACCCTAGAAACTCAACACTACACCCTAAAGCCACAAACCTCAGATCCTTTATTAAACCCTAAACCCTAAACCCTCAACCCTAAACACTCAACCCTAAACCCTAAATCCCTAACCCCCTTAGACCCTAAATCCCTGCAGTAAATTCCAAAAAGTTGGAACATCCTTATCCCATACCCCAAAATTCAAAAGGCATGCTGAAGGAATACCTGCTCGAATCGTCCTTAAACCATGTTCCAACTTTCTGGAGTTTACTGTAGACCCCCCGAGACTAAACCCTAAACCCTCAACCCTCACTCAACACTAAGCCCCTAAACCCGAAACCATAGCCCTCAAGCCCACTGTAACTTGAAATTACTAAGAAAAATCCCAAAAACGAAGCTCCTCGAAACTCCTCGAAACATTCCCCGGAGCTGAACCCTTAATAATATCCTAAACCCTAAACCCTAAACCCTAAACCCTAAACCCTAAACCCTAAACCCTAAACCCGACACCTAACCCCCTAAACGCTAAACCCTAAACCCTGAACACTTAAGCCCAGGATGTCTTCGACCCCGAGCGCGTCGCGCATCATCCGTCCGACCTGTACGACGCGCACTGCGGGGCCTGTTTTTACTCTGGGCCTACAGGGTGCTATGGGTCCGGGATCAGTAAACCCTAAACCCTAGATACCCTGAATTCCCTAAACCCTAAAACCTTAAATACCCTCCCTAAACCCTAAACCCTAAACCCTAAACCCTAAACCCTAAACCTTAAATTCCCTGAATTCCCTAACCCCCAAACCCTGAACCCTGAACTTGGGATGAGGGCTCGGGCTTCTGGAGCTTGGAGGGAACGACTTTAGGGTTTAGGGTTTAGGGTTTAGGGTTTAGGGTTTAGGGCTACTACTGGGAGGTTCGTGGGCAACCATAAGCTGGGTTATAAATACCCCACATGGGGCTATAAGTAGAGGTGCCATACTTATAGAACCCTGCTTACAACTACCCATGAACCTCCACGTAAGGCCTTTCAGGCAGAAGCAGTTTTTCGTAGCCTCGTCCGGAGCCAGAGGGCTAAGGTTTCGGTTTACGGTCTAGGGTTTCGGGTTCAGGGTTGTCAGACTTCAAGCTCACTCAAAGAGTCGAAGGAGGGTGGCTTCGAAGCGAGCTAGATGGCTAGCAGCCGTTTGTGTCTATTCATTGAACAGAATTTGGGTTGAGCCCTAAACCCTAAACCCTAAATCCTAAATCCTAAACCCTAAACCCGTGGGAAGCTTCCACCAATGGCTTCGAGGAGGCTCACCCCCTCTGTCTCCATTGTTGCGAAGACCTGGCGCCGGCAGAACTCAGAAGCAAGAGTCTTACCCCAAAACTCCTTAAACCCTAACCCCTGGACCCTGTACCCTAAACCCCAAACCCTAAAACCCTAAAACCCTGAAACCCTGAAACCCTAAGCCTCAAAGCCTAACCCCAAGCCCTAAACGCCTAAACCCATGCACCCGAAGCTTGAACCTGAGGATAATGGCCTTCCGCCACTCCGCCTCAAAGAAAACCGAAGCCCGAAACCCGTAGTCGTCAACTCCCACCCGGCACTAGAGGTTTAGGGTTTAGGGTTTTTAGGGTTAAGGGTTTAGGGAATTTGGGGTATTTAGGGTTTAGGGAATTTAGGGTTTAGGGTTTAGGGTTTAGGGTTTACACCCCCCTAAGTCCTAAACCCCTGAATCCTACAACCCTTAAACACCCCACCCCTAAAGCCTAAAACCTTAAACCCTGAACCCTGAAATCCTAAGCCCTAAACCCTAAACCCTAAACTCCAAATTACTATAACCCTATATCCCAAACCCTAAAACCCTAAAACCCTCAAACCCTCAAACCCTCAAACCCTACAACCCTAAAACCCTAAAACCCTAAAGCCCTAAAGCCCTAAAGCCCTAAAGCCCTAAAACCCTAAAACCCTAAACCCCTGTAAACCCCTTTCGTACCGTGCCCTGCCAGGCCTGAGTGTGAACGGCCACCTCCGCCCAAGAGGGCCAAGAAGGTCGGGTGCAGGGCAAAAAAGCCCGCCAAAAAAACAACCTACAGGGGTCTAGGGTTTAGGGTTTAGGGTTTAGGGTTTAGGGTTTAGGGCTTACAGGAGTTTACGAGTTCAAGGGCTTTAGGGGTCCAGGGCCCAGGGCCTTCGGAGTTCAGGAGTTCGGGGTTGGGCTGTAGGGTTTTGGGGTTTTGGATCTAGGGAGTGTAGGATTTTGGGTTAGGGCGTATGCGGGTTTAGGCTTTCTGGAGTTTGTGCGTTCAAGAGTTTCGGGGTCTACGCGTGCAGGGCTTTTGGCTTTTGGGTCTAGGGGCCTTGGGAAAGGGTGTTTCGGGCCAAAGGTTTTTGGGTTCAGGGGCTTTCTACTATTTGAAATAGCAATATGATTCCTTATAAGGGCAACACAGGGATTTGTTTCTTTCTTCTTTTTTTTTGGGGGGGGGGGGGGAGTTCTTAAGCAAATAGTAGCTCAAGGTTTGAAGATTGTGGCATCCAGGGTTCCGTGTTTTCGGGGTTCAGGGTTAGATCATTCGGGTTTACATGCGTGGGGTTTGCATGTCTACTCTTTTAGTTTAGGGTTCCCGAACCCTCGATGCCTTTGTCCAATCGGGCAGGCGCATGAGAGGCGCGGCTTGCTACCAGTTGCCCTGGCTGGGTAAGATACACAGGTTCACTTGGGTTTAGGGTTCAGGGTTTATGGTTTCGGGTAACAAGTGGGGCTTAGCTTGGGATGTTCCCCCTTAGATTAACAGTCCTTAACAGGGGTTATAGTGGTAGGTATACTTGTGACCCTATTTTCGGGGAATTACTTGTACCCCCTATTCATAGCTACCCATGAACCTTCACGTAAACACTATCCTAAACCCTAAGCCCGAATATTATGTGTTGTCCTGACAGGCCACCACAGTAATTTCTTCCGGTAACTTCGTTCAAATTTCTTCGCAGCCCAACTCAGGGTTGCCACACGTGGTCATTCTATGGATGCTTGGAGGTTGATGTCGGTAGTTATAACTTTTGACCCTACTCAGGGCACGTGTAACCCTACTTCTAGTTACCCGTGAAGCTCCAAGTGTGGTTTGCAGCTCCTGCGATGTGCGTAGGCTCAGGGCCGTGGTCTCTTCTACATGGGACCTGATCCCCACTCACGGAAATTGTCTGCAAGAACGTATGTTCCTCTTGGTTTCGTGGGGTGCGAAATTGAGAGAGGACTCTAACCCTAAACCCTAAACCCTAAAACTTCTCCTGTGCTTTTCTCTCCTCCCTGCAATGGGAATGAGCTGGAAGCCCAAAAGCCCTGAATCCGAAAACAAAATCCAAACTAGGGTTTTGGGTTTAGATTCCCACCCAAGACCCCCACCCCCATCTCCACCTCCACCCCCTACCCCCCCACCCCACCCCCACCTAAACCACCTGAGCCCAACAAAAACCACAAAACCCCCCCCGAACACAGCACGACATGCCGACCCTAATGCAACCTAACTGCGCCAGGCGCACCCTGATCCCCGACACCCTAAACCCTAAACCCTAAACCCTAAACCCTAAACCCTAAGCCCCTCTCAGCCCTAAAACTCTCAACGCGCCAGGCGCAGCCTCGCTCCGGCGTCCCCGGGTCCCCCAGCATCTCCTGCCCCACTGGGAGGCCGTTAAGGGTTTAGGGTTTAGGGTTTAGGGTTTAGGGTTTAGGGTTTAGGGTTATAGGGTTTAGGGTTTAGGGTTTAGGGTTAGGGTTTAGGGTTTAGGGTTTAGGGTTTAGGGTTTAGGGTTTAGGGTTTTAGGGTTTTAGAGGGTTTAGGGTTTTAGGGTTTAGGGTTTAGGGTTTAGGGTTTAGGGTTTAGGGTTTAGGGTTTAGGGTTTAGGGCCCTAGAATATATGGGGGGGATTGCTGCTGGCATACCCTTATGGTCCATGGTCCCTATGTAATGCTGGGAAAACCCTATTTCCCTAAACAAGGGGGGGGGTTAAGAGGGCTTGAGGGGTAAAGGTATGAGGTGTAGAGTTATTCAGGGTGGTTCTTGGTTGTCTTAGGGGCCTTAGTTTGGGGCTTCTGAAGGGTTCAGAGCTTGCGGTCGAGTTTTTGGGTGCATTCTGCGTGTCGGGGGAGTCTTCGGGTTCGAGGTTTAGGGTCTTCGGGATTAGGGTTTAGGGTTTGGATCTTCGGGTTTAGGGCTTAAGGGTTTGGGGTTCAGGGTTTGAGGGTCTATTCGAGCCGGTATGGTTTTGAGGGTTTGTTTGGCCGTAGAAAAGGGGGGGGTTCATGCTTTTTTGTTCTTAGGGTTTAAGGTCTAGGGTATATAGTGCTATAGGGCTGAAGTGCTTGAAGTAAGCCCTTAATCCTAAACCCCAAAACTAGAGGGGTATAGGGCATAGATTCTCTGGGCTTCAAGGTTCTTTCAACTCTTAACACGCGAGTGCAAAGCCAGAAGATCGAATCCCTAGACCCCAAACCCCTGGGCCTAAACGCTAGAACCTGGATGTCAACTGACACCCACGTGAAATGTGGTCCCTTTTGGGGACCCTACTACAAGGCGGCCCCCCCCCCTTCTTTAGCGTACCCGAAACAGGACCATCACTTAGAGAGCTGACCATATGATCAGCATCTTGCTCTGCTCATGCGAGGGTCGACTGACAACCTGAACGGCTATCTGGTCACCTGAGAGCCTGGGATTCGGGTGCTTTTAGGCTTCTGGCCTTGGCGGCTTGAAGCTTTCTACTTGAAATTCTAGTGGTTGGGTTTGAGGTTTAGGGTTTAGGGTTTGGGGGTTTGAGGTTTAGGGTTTAGGGTTTAGGGTTTAGGGTTTTAGGGTTTAGGGTCCCGGGTGTTAAGGTCCAGAGTGCTGTGTCGGCACTGGAGACAGATGCAGGCGAATGAGCAGCGTGCCTGTGGCAATGCCACGAATTCGCGATGCTGCACGGTTATACCCACAGACTCCAATACCCCTTGATTTAAGGGAATGTTCCTTAAGCCATATAAGGAACCCTAGTATTTTTTTTAAGGAAGAGTCCTTAAATTAAGGGGTATTGGAGTCTCCTGGTACACACGCGATCGTGGCTCGGGTGTGGACATCATACCGGAATTTTCGCTCCCAAGCCCCTGCCCAGAGAGCCCAACACCCCAAGAATTAAGCACTGGGCCTTAAACTCAAAAAAGCACTGGTCCTTATCATGGTTCAAAGTATAGTCTTGAACTTGAGCGGGATTGGGCTCGACCCTAAACCCTACTCCCTAAAGCCTAGGCCCTAAACCCTAAACCCTAAACCCTAAACCCTAAACCCTAAACCCTAAACCTATGTCCTATGTTTTGGCACGTGCTCTGCATGCCTTTTTGGGTAGCTTCGGGGCCCAGTCCCCTCTCAGCACACAGAGCCCTCAAATCTAAACCCTTCAATTCTGAACCCCTAGGGTTTAGGGCTTAGGGTTTAGGGTTTAGGGTTCAGGGTTTAGGGTTTAGGGTTACAGGGTTTAGGGTTTAGGGATCCTAAACCCTGAAAAACTCTAACTCCTGAAGCCTGGGAGTCTCAGTCGCGCCTCGAAGTCAGATTCCAAGACCAGCCACGGGCTCCAGGCCAGAAGACGCGGCCGCGAAACCCCACAAATACTGAAGCACCAAACACCAGACTGACACACCACCCAGGGGTTAAGGGTTTAGGGTTTAGGGTTCAGGGTTCAGGGTTTAGGGTTTAGGGTTTAGGGTTCAGGGTTCAGGGTTTAGGGCCCCCTTTAAAGCCGCAACCCTAAACCGGCCCCACCCCTCACCCGCCAAGAGGAAACAGTCAAAAAGGCACGAGTCCGAGCCCCTCAGCCCCAAACCCAAGCCTGACTAGTAGAATAACAGGGTTTAGGGTTCAGAGTTTTGGGTTTAAACGGGTTTAGGGTTTAGGGCTTAAGGGGTCTTCACCTTTGTTCTCGGCCATGTCCTGCGATGCGGGCGCGCTGCCCGCCGGCATGGAGGCCCTTGGGGGGGTATTTCTGTTGGGATGTTCCCCCTTATACTAACAGTGTTCAGGGTTTAGGGTTTAGGGTTTAGGGTAATCAAACCTGAAACCTTGGGATGTTCCCCCGTATACTAACAGCTCCTTCATGGGGAGTACTATAATCCCTATTAAGGACTGTTAATATATGGGGGGACATCCCGGTATCTCTGTCTTTTGTTGTTTTTTGTTGCTGAGCGTTCAATCGTGTAGGAATCGCGTTGGTGGTTGGGGATTATGGGGGTTTACCACCCGCCCCCCCCGCCTCTAAACCCTAAAGCCTGAACCCCAAACCCTAAGCCCTAAACCCCAAACCCCAACCCTAAACCCTAAACCGCAAACCCTAAACCCCTAAACCCCCAAACCCCAAAGCTCAGGAGCCAGCCCTGGCTCGGGAGGTTGCAGCCCTGCGCGAGGACTGTGGCTTTCGTAGCACCCGTATAAACGTACAAAGGGTTTAGGGTTTAGGGTTTAGGGTTTTGTAAGGTGGAGGCATTCCCCCCAAAAGAATGGCATTACAGGGTTCAGGTTTGGGGCCTACAAGCTGCGAGGAGCCCTAGACATTAGACCTTCATCCCCTTAGCCCTAAACCCTAAACCCTAAACCCTAAACCCTAAACCCTAAACCCTAGACCCTAGACCCTAGACCCTAGACCCTAAACCCTAACGAGACTTTTCAGGCTTGGCAGGCAACATGCCCAAGGTAGACGCCTCCCGGATGTCTTGCTTTCTTATGTAAGAAAGGCGTAGACTTCGGGTTAGTTTGGAAGGGTTTAGGGTTGAGGGCCCACGTGGTCTCTCCGACTTTTGGCCTTGAAGTTAAGTTGGTAGCCCAAGCTCTGCGCTCCTAAGTGCGAAGACCCTACAACCTGGCCCTGAAGGGTTTAGGGTTTAGGGTTTAGGGTTTAGGGTTTAGGGTTTACACCTCGATAGCAAAGAAGGAGCTGGAAGCACTGTCCGAGTTGCTGCTCCTTGGATGTCCAAGCCAGGGGAGGCCTTGAGCAGCCCTACGAATCACTTGGTAGCCCAATAGGGTTTAGGGTTTAGGGGTTAGAGTTTAGGGTAGCCCGGTCGTACCCTTTATTTGTCATTTTTTTTGCTCCGGGTTCTCTTATAAAGTAACCAACCAAAAAATGGTGCCCTTATTATAATATGGTTACTGGGCTACCGAGATTATATGCTGAGACCCCCCTCACCCAGAGACTCCAATGCCCCTTGATTAAGGAGCATTCCTTAAACCATATAAGGAGCCCTCTGTTTTATGAAGGAACAGTCCTTTATTCAGGGGTAATGGAGTCCCTGGGAAGAGCCCAACACCCCTTAGTTAAGGAAGTTATACGAAGGATCCCTGTAGAGTTTCAGGTCTTTTCCTTAACGAAGGGGTTGGGGGCCGTCTGACCCTGACTCCTGAAAAGTGGGGCACCCCCTAAGCCCTCAACCCCAGGGGGCGTACGAAAATGGGGGGCCCCTAAATTAGACCCCCCAAATACAGTAGTAGGATTCCCTTAGAATAGGGACCCAAAAAAGGTACCACTAGCATGGTAAAACCCCCATATCGGTAGCTTAGCCCTTATGCCCTTCGAACCCAAATCCTAAACCCTTAAGCGCCGGAATCGAACCCTAAAACCTAAACCCTAAATAAACCCTCAACTCCTGAAGAACCACAGAGCCCCGAACTACTGAAGCCGCCACTAGCGCCCAGGCACGCGCTAGGAGAGAGAGAGAGCGTGAGAGCGTGAGAGCGAGAGAGAGAGAGAGAGAGAGAGAGAGTATCGCTTCTTTTTGGTGGGGTATGGCATGTGTACGCCTCTTGTGGCTTGACAATAGAGTTGCCATACTGAACTCTGTAACCCATGAAGCTCGAAGTAACCATCCGAGGTTCTTCAGCGGCATTGTGTGCGAAGGCCCTGACCTGATTCCGACTCTGACATGCTTTGGGTTTAGAGTTTTTGTGGCTTTGCGGTCAGGGTTTGGGTTTCAGGGGTTTTGGGGTCCTACACCCTAAACCCTAAACCCTAAACCCTAAACCCTAAACCCTAAACCCTTAACCCTTTAAACCCTAAACCGGGCCACCGAGGCCGTTTCCATGCGCAGCTCCACCGGCGGCGTTTCCGCCGGGCGCTGGCGCGCTTTCCGCTGGAGGCCCCCCCCCCGCCCCAAACCCTAAGGGTTTAGGGTTTAGGGTTTAGGGTTTAGGGTTTAGGGTTTAGGGTTTAGGGTTTAGGGTTTAGGGTTTAGGGTTTAGGGTTTAGGGTTAACCCCCCACCCCCCTTCCCTTGTGGCTTTGTTGCTTTGCGGTTTCTTTTGGGCCGATGGAAGCCGCGTCACGGACTGGAGCGTCTCAACAGAGAATTCTGAACCCTAGGGTTTAGGGTTGGCCCTTGAACCCCTGAACCCCAAACCTGTAGGGTTTAGTACTTTAGGGATTTTAGGGATCGCAGGTTTTACGGGCCCCAAAACTAGGACCCAGAATATGCCCTTATTCCCTTTTTTTGGGGTTTAGGTTCCCTTAGTAGCCCCTTGAACCCAAAAATGGGCACTCTTCTTATTCCTACGTTACTCTTGGGTCTAGTAGCCCTAAACCCCAAACTCCCCAAGCCCTAAACCCTTTCTATTCCTAGGTTACTCTAAACCCAAAACCCTAAACCCTAAACCCTAAACCCTAAACCCTAAACCCTAAACCCTAAACCCTAAACCCTAAACCCTAAACCCTCTAGATAACCTGAGAGCCCTCGAAGCCCTACATCCTCTGAAGGAGGAGGGCGACATGGCCACCCTGCAGATTGCCCTGAGCTCGCGGGACCTCTCTAGAACTCTAAACCCTAAACCCCAAACCCTAAACCCTAAACCCTAAACCCTAAACCCTAAACCCTAAACCCTAAACCCTAAACCCTAAACCCTAAACCCTAAACCCTAAACCCTAAACCCTAAACCCTAAACCCTAAACCCTAAACCCTAAACCCTAAACCCTAAACCCTAAACCCTAAACCCTACCCAAAGATTTGACAGAGTGGGCGGTGGCTGGTGGGCTTCTTCTCCGGGTGTTCATAGTTGCATCTGGTGGCTTCCGAAAGCAGGGGTACCGTATTGAGGTCTTTATTGTCAGGGAATCCTACCATTTGGGGATCTATATTGGGGGTCTCCTATTTTCGTGCACCCCCATGTAGTTTCGGGTTTAAGGTGTGGTTTTTAGACCTGGAGTTTCATGGATGTAGTTCGATTGAAGGCAGCAGGCACTCAGACACCTAAGAAGCTCAGACGCCCGCACCCAGACGCTTCGTAAGCATCCAGGACAAACTCCTCCCTGACATGTCTGAGTGCCCTTGTTATCTTCGACTACTCGGCTTGTTGACCATGACAGCGAGAGGCTCAGACGCTCAGACACTTACAAAGTTTGAGGTATCGTCAGGCGTGTGATCGTCTGGCTGTCGGCTTTTCATTTCTGCCCCCGCCCCCCCAGCCCGAGTGTCTGGGCGTCTGCCTGCCTGACACTCAGACACTCCTGAAAAGCGGGACCTAGACATTACTTTGGGAACTGTTCATGTTTCTGTCGGTTTTGCGAGCCAATGGCATGAGCAGATTTTTCAAGTGCTTCGAGACATTCCCTAAGTCATCTAATCTAGGGACCCTTTTTCTGAGTCAAGGCTCATATTTCCTTGTTTGAAGGGTGTAACCCTAAACCCTAAA